CCACATTCCCCTTTAGTGCATCAGCAAAGGAAGTTTTCATGGCATCATTTTCCATATTCAGCTCCTGGAACTCTTTTCTGAACTGTTCAATGTTTTCCTTAATCTGGACATTCCAAGCAGCAATCTCATCTCTCTCAGAAGAGAGCAGTGAACTAACATCTAATTCCTTTAGGTTGTCATTCAGCTGTTTGTTTTTATCTTCTTGTTTAGAAATTCTAGATTCTAGTTGACTCTTTTCCCCTTCCAGCTTCTTTATTCTTTTTTTTAGTTCCTTTCTCTCCTGCCCCTGTGCTTTATTTGCTTCCTCCAAAGATCTTATTTGTTCTCTGAGTGTTTCATTCTCTTTCATTTCTCCATCCATATTCCGAATTTTATCATCAAGGCTTATAACCATTTCCTCTAACTTCTTGATTCTCTGTTTAAGTCCCCTGATGGTTACCCCTTCTCCCGACCCCTGGGTGGGAGAGGTTTGGGACAGAGATGGCCTCATTTTTATGTTCTCCCTCTCACAGAATACAGAAAGAAGACGAGAAAGAGGAAAAAAAAAGAGAAAAACTTTTAATTGAGCTTCACACAGAATTTTTATATCTCCATATAAGTGCTATTTAGTGACTCAGTTTATCTCTTTTCTGGTAACACACATCTTAACTTAAAAACTTGACCATGGTAATTTAAGTATAAAAAGAAAAAGAAAAACAAAAGTCAAACCTGAAGGAAAATTCGAATTTGTGTTTGAGGTGGCACCCACCTGTTTCTGCTATATTATTCTTCCTAACTGATAAACTGACTTGCTAACCAAGATATGTTATCACGGGATTAGACTTTACATTTAACTCAATATATATACAAAATAAAAAAATAGTAAAAGAGAAAGCTAAAAGAAAAGCAAAAAAAATGAAGAAAATAAGACCGCTGTACTACTTGGCAACTTAACTCAGTACTGTTGACAGGTGGATGTTTGGTATTTTTTTTTTATTATTCAATTATTTCGTGTATCAAACTAACTAACTAGCTAATATAAATGGGAAGGATACTGATTTTAACAATATATAGAACCACAGGATCAGGTAAACGGCTTAAGAGCTTTCCCCAGTTTACACAAAAAATTAGGTAATGTGATGTGATGGCTCCACCTCTGGCAACTCTTCTAGATTTCCCTCAAGGCAGAACTGGACGGCAGCTTCTCTCTCTCCTCACGAAAATGTTCTCAATTGTGTGTGTGTGTGTGTGTGTGTGTGTGTGTGTGTGTGTGTGTGTGTGTGTGTGTGTGTCTAAGAGGAAACTGTAATTGGTAGCATTTAAGAATTTGTTTGTGTCTTTATATATATATATATATATATATATATATATATATATATATATATATATATATATATATATATATATATATATATATATATATATATATATATATATATATATATATATATATATATTGGCAGAGCAGTAATATTCCATCTACTTCTGCTATAATTACTGCTGCTACTACTCTTACAAATACTACTACTGCTAATCTTTTAGTACTTCTACTCTTTTACTACTTCTGTTGCTGCTGCTAATAATAATGATGATAATAATAATAATAATAATAATAATAATAATAATAATAATAATAATAATAATAATATTATTATTATTATTATTATTATTATTATTATTATTATTATTATTATTATTATTATTATTATTATTATTATTATTATTATTATTATTATTATTATTATTATTATTTATGAAGTATCTGTTTTGTTAATAAAATTTCAAACTGATTAAGAGGAAAAAAAATAGAAGCCTCAAAATAATAAAGATTACCAAAGAATAACAGCTGATACTACAGCTCGATTTCAAGTTTTTTTCTTGTTATTCTTTATCTTCTCTTTAAAGTTTTAATAATTCGTAATGCCATTTAAAAGATGCAGTGTTTCCCTAACCAATAGACACACACACACACACACAAACACACACACACACACACACACACACACACACACGTATATATACGTTAAGAATTCAGCCCTTCTTAGTCCAATTCCTATAACTTGTGCAATTTTGGTATGGCATTATGGACATGTTTTGGGGTGAAAATATTATTTTTAGAATATAAGGATCACCCAAATATATTTTACTCTTATTTTGTGAAGCTTTGCATCATAAATTCATTTTTCTCTTCTGTTTCTGTATTTTTATATTGCATTTGTATTAGGTGGGATTACTGCACATGATTTTGTGAATTTTTGTGTATTCAGTTTTATCAGAATATTTTACATTTACTACTTTCATAATGTATTTTTTTTTCATATTTTTATAACAGATTGCTCTTCAAAGTCATTCGGTCTCGAAGATACGCCTAATTCTTATGCACTTTTTCATTCGTATTTTAAAATTAGACCCATTAGCACTCATAAGCTTCTTTTTTTTAGGAATAAGGCCACCTTACTGTACGGCTAGATTGTTTTTGATTGAATTTTACTCAAATGAAGGGTTCGTAATTTATTTTTTTTACATTTTTTTTTTTTACATACGAAGTATCCTCAGTTAAGGAGATCCTTTGTTAGTGGAAATATCTCCAGAAATTTCCTTTAAATCCAGAGAATTTTTGAGAACGAATAAAACCTCTTTTCAGATTTGAAAATATTCTCTTTATGGATTATTAGATCTCCCTCTAAGTTGTATTTATTTTTCTGTGCAAATAGTCCATTATTTATATAGCGAGATTTACCTTTGATTGGATGACCCTTTGTAAGATTTATCCAATCAGAGGGAGCCATTCCTAATCTTACCTGCGCTCTGTTTTATAGTATTTCTTTATGGCTTTAATCTGGGTATATTCCAAAGGGAGTATGTGTCATAAGGTTCATATTGTCACTGAGATCTCTTGGATATCAAACTCTGAGGTCTCGCCAGTTTATCATCATCTCCCCAAATGGTATTTTGATCATACTCTTTCAGTAGTAATATTTTCAAGCATGAACTTATGTGAGTATATATATATATATATATATATATATATATATATATATATATATATATATATATATATATATATATATATATATATATATATATATATATATATATATATATATATATATATATCGGATATATAGATAGATTTAATCAAATAAACATATTAACATATGTGCAAACATGAAACATGTTTTGTCCCTATCCGAGATTCGAACCTAAAAGACATGATTACTGTGCCAGGGTGCTACCAACTACACCACTGAATATATTAAAAGAAGAAGCTAACCTCTCAACTAAGTGTCAAGCTAGGGAATGAAGGCATTCTTCTGAATACTTTTTGTTCATTTTACAGCTTCTTCCCAACCTCACTCGTGGCTTCATTTTCGTTTTAATTCAAATCCCATGCTATATAGGCATCAAGAATGATCAAATAGACACACTACATATGTAAAACATGAATATTTTTGCCCATGCGGATTCGAACCTATGACACATACTTACAGTGCCAAGGCGCTATCGGCTACACCACTGAAGGTCTTCAAAGAAGAAACTAACCTCTCAACTGACTGTTAAGCTAGGGAATGAACACCTTCCTCTGAATACTTTTTGTTCATCTTACAGCTTCTCCCCAAATTAATTTGAAAATGAAGCCACGAGTGAGGAATGCTGGGTTTTCTGGTAAAGTCTCTTTCTCTCTCGGCTATCTATCTGTCTGTGTATCTATTTATCTGTCCATCGTTTTGTAACTTTTCTTTTTTGATATTATCTTTACTCTAGGGTATTGTATGATATACTTATATTGCTCTTTAAAGGATTTAGATCCGACCAGAGATAAATAGTACCTGTGAATGAAATGATCAAATGCAAGAAAGGACACTCGTGAAATATATAGTAGTTTCCTCATTATTACATGAAAATTCTCCTTACTAGCAGATCTCTTAAAAAAAAAGGATTCCTTTCCTCAGCTTTATTTCAAGTATTTTTGTTTTCTTAATTTAAAGGTTTTTCAGTGGGCATTCGCATTCAGTACCTGTTGCGGACGCTTTGTCATATTTTTCAAAATATTTCACCTTTGTCAACAAGACTTTTCTTTCCCTTATTATACAACGTCCACCTCCCAAACTACCTTTGAACGCTTGCTATGTTTTTAAAGCCATTTGAAGACTTTTCCTACTCCGAAGTAGTATCAAAAGTTCAACACTTAGCTAGTTGTATTAAGAATCTTAATAACCTTGTATTCATTCATTCTCACACGTGGTTGTGCTATTGCAGCATTGGAAAATAAATGCAATATCAGTTTTTCTGAATTTTTATAAAGCTGAAGTTTTTATAGTGATATAATGCTCTCAATAGCCTTTTTTTTAATTCTGACTAAATTAGGCCGTTTTGAGTTTCCACTTGACCGTATATAATGAGTGTAACATATGCATAAGTATTATTAAAATATATTAAGTTTTTATTATTTCATAAATCAGAGCTCGTATTTGGAATTATAGTGGTTTCAACATTATTAGCAAAGTAATGTGCAGACGACCACATTATTTTTCTTCTTCGATTGTTGTCAGGAAGCAGACACAATTAATAGCACTGAGAGATGAAACGATCCAGTGGCTCTTTATTTGTTTGTAGTAATCCCTAATATGAAAAGACGGAACGTCTTCAACGGATAGTCTCTCTCTCTCTCTCTCTCTCTCTCTCTCTCTCTCTCTCTCTCTCTCTCTCTCTCTCTCTCTCTCTCTCTCTCTCTCTCTCTCTCTCTCTCTCTCTCTCTCTCTCTCTCTCTCTCTCTCTCTCTGTGTGTGCGTGTGTGTATGTATTATAAATGGAGCCACGAGAATCAAATATTGTGTGGACAGAACAGCATTGTTTGTTCTAAAAGACTCAATTTATTGGTCAATTTTTCTGAAGCCTTTGAAGAAGATTGAGAGGGAGGGGGAGGAGGAGAGGCTGCTCAATTGGGACAAGATTGGAGGGGCCGACGCTTCTGTTCTATTTTCTATTTTCTCTTGATTTTTTTTTCATTGTTATTGAAAGCCGACTTTATGGCGCAGTGGTAGCGTTTTAGGCTGGTAATATAATGGCCGCATATTCGATCCCGGCCTGCGGTTGGATTAGCTTTTTCTGTTTCATCTCGTTAGCGATTAAACTGAGCATTAAATTGGGGGGCTCGGTGATTTCCTATAGATCAACCTTACTGTTCACCCATTACCTGGAGATCATTGTGTCCACGTGATTGGGAAGGGCCTTGGGCTCCGGCTGCATGGTAGATATAGTGCTCTGTTTTATTACTGTCCCTTGCCTCTGCCTTTCGTTAGACCCCTTTAGCCTTAATTATGTAGATGTATAAGATATTTAATGGCTCCTATCAGAGCCCCCGTAGGATATTGTTATTGTACTTTTATTATTATTATTGTCTTTATTAGGAGAATACATAAATGGGATTCTATTAGGATTTATATTATTAATTCATACTGATCTTGGTGAAGAGAGAGAGAGAGAGAGAGAGAGAGAGAGAGAGAGAGAGAGAGAGAGAGAGAGAGAGAGAGAGAGAGAGAGAGAGAGAGAGAGAGAGAGAGTTTGTGGAATGCCTGGAATTGAATCGCCAATAATGACTTCTGCTCTAGATATTGCATATTCAATCCAGACTATCATCCAACTCATTGAAGACTGCTAGACCTATCCTTTGGGACCATATAGAAACTGAAATTGTAAATATGCTTTGTTATTAGTGGTCCTACGCATCTGAAATTATCATGCGAGGGACGTCTTTACCCTCTTTTTCTTATCTCCAAGTAATGGTTCTGAAAGAAAGAGACTTCACGAACTGCTACTGTGATTCTAACTAGGTAAACTTGGTTGTCATATGAGCCATGGAGGATGGATTTATAAAATAATAATAATAATAATAATAAACTTTATTTCCATTTTACAATGGGTATTCGTCGGCCAGGACAAGCCCCAACCCCCCACTGTGATGTCCACCCACAGCAGTTCCTGCCAGTAAACAGCTTAAACTCTCGGTCAAGAAACACTCAAGCCATTTAATCGGTCAAGAGAGGACACGGACAATTGGCCCATAGGACAGTTACCATTAGGATTATAGCCACTAACTCTTAATGCAAAAGTGGACATTTGGCCCTCGATAATGTAAGAGTCAAATTATAATTGAGAAACAGTGAATGAAAAGAAGTTCAGTGCGAACAATTTATTTCACAGTTGGTTAGGTCAGGTCACGTTAGGTTAGAATAGGCTAAGTTAGGTTATATATGGTTAAGGGCAGTTGTCTTAGGGGGCAATGTAAAGAGGGCAATTGTCCTATGGGACAGTTATCCTGAGGTGTAATTCTCCTGGTTTCTAATGGGCAATATTCCTGTAGGGCATTTATCCCGAGGAGTAATTGTGTTACATCCAAGGTAATTGTTCTAAGGGCAAATGACCTGAAAAACAATCATCCTAAGGAACAATTGTGCTATGGGGCAGTTATTTTAAAGGGCAATTGCCCTACCACCGTCCAGGAAGTAGGAAATTGACCACTCAGCAACCAAGTTAAAATTGGTGTAGTCAAACCATAGACTATATAATATATAAGAAACGTATACATCCGATTTGGTAATTCTTGTATACGTTGAACATATTATTGTGTTCATTTTGCAAGATTGTTCAGTTACCTACTAAACAGTATTTTATCATGTTTTTGTTATTTATTTTTTTCAATTTATTTGTCTTTTATTCATTTTTTATGTATTTATTTATCTACTTTTAATGATCATGGATTTCTAAGCTTTGTGTAGGATGATTTCAGGTAACACTGCCACCTAGAATGCATGATTCTTTGTAATATTGTTTTATACTTTATTTATTGATTTTCATTTAAATAAATTAAATTATTTTTTCAACTTTGTGTAGATAAGAAGCTTCACGTTGGATGCAACTGGGGAATATTTCATAATGACACCCACCTGATCAAAACATTTACTGTTGTCTATTTTAGGCTTAGAATAAGAAAAAGGTAAATTCTTTTCCACCTCTTGCAATCATTCTAATTGGCCTTGGGAAGGCCAACCTTTGCAAATATTTGTTCGTTTGGTTAAGACCTCCATTACAGACCTTCGTTAATTTTAATTAAATGCACTCTCCTCTGAAGGTTGCTGCTGGGGTCTGTTGTTGTTGCATTTAAATGAAAAATATGTTTAGTTATTTAGTCAGGAAAATGATTTTATATATTTAGAAGGTTTTATTTATATTTTTTTCTGTTATACCTTTTTTGGTTATTTGTCAAATAATTTTTTTCCCTATATCATCGATGTAATGAAGAATTTCTGTGAATATCGCCAATAATGTTCACGTAGTTGCTCCATACTCTATTGTAGAAGTTCTTCTGATTGTCTTGCGCTTTGTCATCATATAAGAAACTTACCTCCATTCAGAATACTGAGGTTTTCGCATTTTTTTCCCATCCTCTGGATAGATTGTTGATATATAAGAGAGTGAATTGAGGAAACATCGTGATCAAGTCCTTTAATACGCCACAGTGCTTTAGTCCTCTAATTGGTATTTGTTGGTCAACGTTCTAGCTCGGCATCATGTTTCAACATTTACGTTTTTAATGTTAATGATGAAAAAGTCATTAGAATATTTAATATTTTCTAGAAGCTTATAAATATTTGTCTACACAAGACATAATAAGCAATGCTCACACACACACACACACACATACACACACACACACGCACACACACACTCCCAGGAGCCAACATGGCAGGGGAGACTTGAAGAAAATAAAGCTAGGGTTGTAGACCTGATAAGAAAGCTTGGAGTAGTATGTGGTCCTGAGGATATTGTAAACATACACCAACTAGGTAAATATTCGAGGGAAGGAAAGCCGAGACCAACAAAAGTAACCTTTGAGAGAGGGGAAACATGTAGGGAAATATTGTTGAGAAAAAAAGTCTAAAAGACCTTCAAGAATTCAAAGAAGTGTTCATTAGACAATACAGAACACAGGAAGAGATGGGAAAGATCAAAAACTTGTTGCAAGAGGCAAGAAGGTTAAATGATGAAAGAAATGAAGAAGAGAAGAAATATTTTCATTACAGAGCTCTTCCAGACAAAGGAGAGATAAAGAAGATAATGACAGAAGATCAGGGGATGGGGCCTCATTAAGATTGTTATACACAAATGCTGATGGATTAGCTGGTAAGGCAGTAGAATTAAAAGATAGGATTCACAACAGTAAGGCAGATATAGTAGCAATTACAGAGACTAAGTTGAGTGAGGACATAAACAGTGTCACAGTTTTTCCTAAGGGTTTCAGAATACTAAGGGTTGAAAGATCTGAGAGGACTGGTGGAGGGATAGCACTGCTCATAAGTGAAAGGATTCAAGTCGAAGAAATAAACTTGGCTATAGAAAGTGAGTTCAAGGAATTTCTTGTTGCTGGCATAAATACTGGGTCAGAGAGCATTATAATAACTGTTGTATACAACCCACCAAGGAACCAAAATAGGCTTGAAGTTTATGAGGAAAGTCATATAGGTACTATTGAAGTCATAAACTCAGTTGTTAACATGGCACGGGAAAAAAAATGTAGGATTTTGATTATGGGAGACTTTAATCATAAAGAGATAGATTGGATAAATCTTGACCCACACAGTGGTGAGGACTCATTCGGGGCAAGATTCCTAGATTGCGTACAAGGGAATTTCCTACACCAACATGTAATGGAACCAACAAAGGCCAGGGGTGGGGATGAGCCATCACTACTTGATCTAGTGTTCACAGATAATGTGTTGGATATTGAAAAAATTGAGTATGAACCACCAATTGGAAAGAGTGACCACTGTGTGTTGTTGATGGAGTATATCATTGAAGATATTCTTTCTGAGAGTAGAGGCACTGAGGACATGAGGAGGAACTATCCGAAAGGAGATTACATCAAAATGAATGAGCTTTTTGCAGTTATTGACTGGAGAACCTTATTTTACAACAAATCTGTACAAGAAATGTATGACATCTTTTGTGAGAAATATGGGAAGATAGTAGATTGCTGCATACCTGTCACCAAAGTAGGTGTAATTCATGCCAGAGAGAAATGGTTCGATAATGGGTGTAAAAGAGCTAAGGAGTGGAGAGACAAATGCTGGAAAAGGTATAGGAGGAGAAAAAACATAAATGCCTGGCAAACCTACAAAAGAGCAAGAAATGACTACCTAAGTAAAAGGAGAGAGGCAGAGAGAGACTATGAGAGGGACATCACCAGGAAGGCTAAAGAAAATCCCAAGCTTTTCCACAGCTTTATCAGAGGAAAACTGAAGGTAAAAGAACAGGTTTTAAGGCTAAAGAGAGCGGATGGAAGCATCACTGAGACGGATGAAGAGATCTGCAAAGAATTGAACAAGTAGTTTCAGTCAGTATTTACAGTAGAAAATACCCCACCCCCTCAGATTGCAGTGATAGAAGCTCAAGGGCCGGTATTAGAGAACATCAACCTTACAGCCACAGAGGTATGCAAAGCGCTGATGGATTTAGATGTTCATAAAGCTACAGGTCCTGATGACATATCCCCTCATGTGCTTAAAAAATGCGCAAACACAATATCAGTGGCACTAAGTATCATATTTAAGGAGTCACTGGAGTCGAGGGAGATTCCAAGATGCTGGAAACAAGCAAATGTGATACCTATCTTCAAAAAGGGAAGGAGGGATACGGTCCTGAACTATAGACCAGTTTCCTTGACCAGCATAGTTTGCAAAGTTATGGAGAAACTACTAAGGAAACATATCTCTCTTCACTTGGAATCCTTCAACTTTTTGTCAGTGAGGCAACATGGCTTCAGAGAAGGTAGATCAACAGTAACAAACTTATTAGAATTTTATGATGAGGTAAGCCAAATCTTACAGGAAAGAGAGGGCTGGGCATATTGCATATTCCTAGACTTCCAGAAAGCGTTTGACACTGTTCCACATGGGAGACTTATTAGGAAGATGCAATCAATGGCTAGAATAGGTGGATATGTTTTGGAATGGATAAAAACTTACTTAGAAGGAAGGGAACAGAGGGTTAAAGTAAGACACTCAGTGTCTGAATGGAGAAGAGTTAGTAGTGGAGT